GGCAGCTTGGGCGCGGGTGGGAAGGGGCGGGACGAGGGCCCTTTTCGGAGTGGGAAGGGGCTCCGCGGGCGCCGTGGCGGCCCGGCTCCCTGGGACGGGCAGGGTTCCGCGCTCGTCCAGGGGGCGGCGAGGCAGCCCTGCCCTCTGTTCCATTTCCGAGGGTGATGGCGCGGGGCAGAGGTCCCTGGACTGCAGGTGCTGGCTCTGGGTCCCTCTGGGAAGCGACTGGTTGAGAAGCAGCGCAGCCTGAGAGGTGGGTGGACCAAGACGCTGGTGGAAGAAAGATTCCCGGGGGCTCCGGGGACAGGGGACAGAGCCCATCCCTGGAGATGGCGGAGAGTCTGGGACTCAAGTCAGTTTTTTTGGTGTGTGTGTTTTTTTTTTAAGAGACAGGGTCCTGCTCTGTTGCCCAGGCTGGAGTGCAGTCACATCATAGCTCACTGCAGCCTCCACCTCAAGTGATTCAACCCTCTCAGCGTCCCCAGGAGTTACAGGCTCGAGCCACATACCCAGCTCATTTTTTATTGTTTGTAAAGATGGGGGTCTTGCTATGTTGCCCAGGCTGGCCTTGAACTCGTGGCCTCAAAGCAGTCCTCCCGCCTCCACCTCCCAAAGCTCTGGGATTACAGGTGAGAGCCACCGCGCCTGACCAATGGCAGCTGTTTCAAGGACTAGGAAGTGAGGGGCAGAGAGGTTGAGTCTTCCCTAGGACACACGGGCCAAAGCTTCTGTCTGAACTGAGTGGAGCTCACGGAGCCAGGGTTCCCTGTCTGGCCCCACAGCTGGTGCTGAGTGATGACCACATGAGCAGGGTCCTCAGGGAGATGGCAGAGTGGACACCCAGTCTGACCCACGTGAGCTGAGGCTGCAGCTCCAGCGAGTAACTGCAGCCCTGGGGGTCCGCCTCCTGTCCCTCGCAGGGAAAGCCGAAGGTGTCTGCGGAGCCCAGAATTGTCCATCTGGGACGTGATGCCCAGCTCGTCTACCTGGACGGCTTCACTCAGACCCTGCGGTGGACACACTGGGGGATGAGGGTGGGCAGGAGGGATGGGACTGGGGACGCTGCCCAGGGGGTGACTGGTGTCTTGGCTGCCGATACCCCGATGAAGAGATGGACAGCTCAGAAGTGAATTCGGAAGATGGGGGTGAGGAAGAGGAGGAGGCAGCAGTGGCAGCCTGGGGGCAAGAGGTAAGGAGTGGGGTGAGGCGAAGGAAGTCCCAGGGTCCGTGTTCACAGACTGTCTGGGTTCCCCGTGGGACAGGAGGAGGGGGAGGAGGCAGACAGTGAGTGTGGCTCAAGGTGGGGCCTCGTAGGCCACTGGGAGAGCTGGGTCTTCATCCAGAGGGCCATGGAGCCATTCAAGGGTCCTGGGCAGGAGAGCCTGTGGCCAGAGATATTCAGGCTTGAGGGAAGGACAGGGAAGGACAGGGAGGCCAGAGGGAGCAAGATGGTGGAGGGGAACTGGCCTCCAGGGGGTGGCTAGGACATCTCCTGGGACTTCCACGCCTGGAGGCTGGGCCGGCCGGGACAGGTTGGGACGGAAGTGTGGCACCGGATTTTGAACGGTGGCCCTAGTGTGGCTTCAGGGGTGAGGAGGGCGCCCAGGCTCCCCAGGGCTGGCCGTTGACGCACCCATGCCCTCAGAACTGGGGGGAAAGCGGAGGAAGGAGAAGACAAGGCCTGAGTGCCCCGCTCAGGAGGATTCTCTCTTGTGAGTCAGCTCTGGCCTTGGATCTGGGGCTCCAGCCAGGCCAGTCCTGCCCTTTCTTTTACTTATTTTATTTTTGAGTCAGACGCTCACTCTGTCGCCCAGGCTAGAGTGCAGTGGCACAATCATGGCTCACTGCGGCCTCACAGTCCTGGGCTCAGGAGATCCTTCTGCCTCAGCCTCCCAAGCAGCTGGGGCTATAGGTGTACAATCATGCCCAGCTAACTTTTTGGTTATTTGCAGAGAGAGTTCTTGCTATGCTGCCCAGGCTGGTCTTGAACTCCTGGGCTCAAGTGATCCTCCCTTGTTAGCCTCCCAACGTGCTGGGATCGATGACAGGTGTGAGCCACCGTGGAGACCTGCCCTGTCTTATAATCAGCTTCTCATCTTGTGCTACAAACTCCTGGGACTTTCTGTTGTTGCTGTTTTTAGAGACACAGGGTCTTGCTGTGTCACCCAGGCCGGAGTGCTGTGGCATGGTCATACCTCACTGCAGCCTGGACCTCCTGGACTCAAGGGAAACTCCCACCTCAGCCTCCTGAGTAGCTGGGACTACAGGCATGCACCACCATGCCTGGCTAAATGTTTTGATTTTTTTGGTAGAGACAAGGTCTCACTATGTTGCCCAGACTGGTCTCGAACTCCTGGGCTCAAGCGATCTTCCTGCCGCGGGCTCCCAAAGCGCTGGGATTCCAGGTGCGAGCCACTGCACCCGGCCCTGGGACTCTGACAAAACTGGAAAATTCGATCCCGTCTGGCTTCTGGCAGTGGGGGGACTGGACCGTGGGCGCTGCTCGCCCCACCTACAGCTGGACGGGGCGGCACTGAGCTGGAGACCCGAGTCCTAGTGTTGGGGTGGCAGGTCCTGCGCCTGCAGCGCGACCGCGAGGCGGTCCCCGAGGCGTAGGCACCCCAGGACCGTCCACCGCGCGGCGGAGGGGCAAGGGACCCAGACA